AGTATGTGCGTTACATTTTACGGTCAAAGTTTCCCATTAGTAATAATAAGCTGAATACGATTTTATTTATGATAGGCCATGATTTCTTGAACCAAGATATGCGTGCATGCGGTCCTGACATTTCTCACTCTTTTTTAAACTCTGAACTCATGCAGCTTATCCTCGGATATATATGCAACAACTGACTCATTGCAATAATTAGTAGTGCAACTGCCACTTCATGTCAATGCATCGCATCTAAATACATATCTCTGATGAGGGTAAATTGATATGAATAAGTGATGTGGTTTTGACTCTTGTATATTTTTCTTACGTCGCCTCCACCCCGTTTCTCAATCTTCAGAGTTGCAGTTGCGTAAAAAAGAGAAGAAAGTAAAAGTGAGGACGGTACGAGCTAATTTTCGTGGAAATGGGAAACCCTGAGGCTGTTATTTTACTGTCAAAGTCAAAGTCAAGTAGAATGATAGGATGTTTGTCCGTTAAGCTTAGTCTACCATTCGCATTATACAGAGTGAGTAGTTGGTAAAGTGCGACAGATTTTACTGGACTCGTTGTTAATGAAATTAGAAGTGACAGGTGGGGAACGAACTCAAGTTATGTAAATTGAGTACATGGGAAGAATGATTTGAATTCAAAATATTACTATTTAGAAAATTAAGAGCAAAAGAAGAAAAATTACCGATAAATGGTACAAATTTGACATTGAATTTTACTACTTATTTACTATTTATTCTTCTATTGTTGACACAATTTGTTGGTCGAGGAGGTTATGAGGTTATGTTATGCACATTTTAAGGAGATTACATAGACTCGTGAACTTTTTGTGCTCAAAAAGATCAATTAATTTGACCCATGAAAATATTATTGATGACAAGGACATGATTTACTGATGTAATTATTCGAATTACTTGACTTATTGTTCGTTTTTATGACATACATAAACACTGGACTAAAATGAGTGACTGGAATGTTAAAATGCTGAGGTCAGATCGTCAGATATAAATAAATATGTAGGTGACAACTGCAGATAAAAATCTGTCCGAATACTACTCAACACACAGATTTGGTCACATCGTAATGAGAATGAAATAAGTGTGTAGCTGACAAACCTCAGTCAGATAAAACGATCGTCATCCTGCAAAATGTTAACGATTTCGTTAGCATGCATTATGCAGATTTTGGACAGGGTTAAAATATGGAGTGAAGTCATCTCACTGTTTCCCGTCCAACCTGATTCTTTTCGATTGATGTATTAGTGTTGTAGTAAAAGATTAACATTAATTATGGGGAATCATCACCATTTTCTGTACAGATTACCATAAACCATATGCCAAAGCATGTTCTAACTTGTCAACTACTTGTTACTCGAACTAAAAAAGGTTATTGTCTTTGACCTGCAACTTACAGAAGTTGGTAGTACGGACGAACATAGTTTGTCATAACTATTTATAAAAACATGACAATCAAATAATATTTATGAGGATATAATGATACTGCAAATTTAGGGATATGATATTTCTGCTGTCTAGTCTAGTCCAAAAGGGCAGTTGTCACATAGCATTCTCGCTATCTAGCAGTGCAAAAAATGATGCACTTGAAAACTTTTTATTAAAATGCCTATAAGATTTGTCATAAAAATGTGGATTTCATAAAATCAAGTATGAAATGTATTTTATGCGCCTGTGAATAATTACATGAGAAATTTTCCTTTAAAAAATAAAAACGAGTGCGATTTTGTGATGGACTGAGACAGCTTCAGTCATTTTGCATGTCCAAATGCAACACAGTTCTATCTGGAGAGAACTAGTACCACATGAAAGTAAACCAACCACAAATACTCACCAACATTTGAAACAATCAAGGTTATTATAAATAAATTAACATAATTTTCGCACTCAAAACCATTACCTGTTTAAATATGTTTGTGGACAATAATTAACCTCAGCTCTTATTTTAGACGATTCCATAAATATGTACGACGTACACTGGCAAGTGGAACTTTTCTGGTACCCCTCGAATTCCAGAGTACAGTTAGACGCTAGATCAACAATACAAATTCCAACGAGAGAACAATCATAAAAGTAGTGCAATAATGAACACTTATTCGCAAAACGACAAGTCATTTCAGAATTAATAAATGTGGGAGGAATGTAGGAGGATGAATGAACGGACCGAGGTTGCTGTTGTTGCTTGTTTGTTCCAAGCGACATATTTGGTCCAATGCGCAAAAAATAAGAAACAATTGTTTTGACTGGAATGGAATTTACTAATATTTCCTTTCTCCTAAGAATGCATACCAGTGGCGAAGGCTGAATGTGGTCACCACACCCGGAAATCAGTTAAACTATTAGTAGCTCAAAAAAATTAGGTGTGACCTCCAAGAGTTTGAAACCCGCTTGTTACATGCAGACTTATCTACTTACCAACCACGTAATATTATTCCATATCCACTTATAGGGAAGAATCATCTCCTTTGATTAGTTTACGGTATGCATGCAAAATATTTGCAAGGCACTCAACTGTTTGCAGAAATTGTTCATGGTCCAATATGAAAGCCCTTAACTTGCATATGTACATACACAAACAAAGAAAACACTCGTTGCACCGGTGAATCGTCCCATTTCTCAGATGTCCTAGGGTAATATTTCTGTACGTATTTAGGAGCACAACTATCTATGCAAATGACAGTGCCAAAAAATCTCCAACAGAGATGTTATTACGTATTCTCTAACCTGAACAATCACTGGTCACTAATTATAAAATAAATTGTTATGTTGCTGAACTCGTGAAAAGACAATGTGCAATTGAAAACGGTCTGTTGAGACTTCCTCTTGTCCATTGAATCCAACCCATCGTCACAATATAATAAATCCGATGAAATTAATTCTATTAACATTTTCAAGATGTGAAACGAAATGATTATGCAAATGGTCATATTTAATATTCTATAAACTGCTTGCCGACGATGAGGAAGAGATCTTACCTCGCCCATAGAAATCAGATGAAAGAATAATTTCTATTTATTTATTTAAAACTGTGATAAGATTCAAGAAAAGATGAATGCATTAATCTCGTGGTTGAGATTAAACTTTGCATTGATAATGGCAAATATTTATATGTGCATGCATACGTAGCTTAATTTGAGGTATTTCGTTAGTTCTTGGTTTTAGTAGAATTTTGACCTTAAGAAATGCAATACAAGCCATCATATTCTAAATTCAATGAAATCAGTAGAGGAATCAAAGCAGAACCGAAAAAATGCATTTTAATATCGCTGCAAAATCTCGTATGCATTTAATCTGAAATATTTACTTTAAAATGAAGTTGGTTTATTACCCTGTGTTGTATTTTATGTTTAATGATCAAATTATTTAGAACAAACATTTGTCTGTCATTACCTTTTTTTCAAGTAGTGCGTATAGAAAAATTTAGTGTTATCGTTTAAGCTATGCTGGATAATTATGTGCATAAGTAGGAGAAATTCAATAAGTTTTTGACAGATTCCAATTTGTACTGTCATTATCAAATCTTTAACAAATAATGTGCGAATGGACCGGATAATAGAATTAAGATAAAGGGTTAAGGTTAACGAGTGTGTTTGTTTTAGTTGAAAAATGATGCTCTCTTGAATCATTTAATGCATCCAACCGTGATCGAGATTAATTTTTTATCTTCTAGTTCACGCAACGCATAAGTTGATTATAAACCCCACAGCCACGCACAACAAGAATATGTATGTTTACATTCATTAACTCTTTATATTTACAAAAATAATGACCCATAGTGCTAGCACAATCGCTATTTTCATCATCTTGTACATATGTATTTATGTACATGAAAGAATTCTCACAAGTCAGATGGGAATTCATCCAAGCAGGATGAACAGGTAAGTAATTGTGGGTATGTTACAGGTACAATTAAAAGAATCACGTTGTGCAGTGGCTGCCAATTAATTAACTGGGTGTGGATTTCTTTAATGCTCAAAATAAACAAGCAGTGAGCACGGACACTAAAATAAAGAAATTTTTCTATATATGTAAATATGTGTAGGTTGCAAAATGTCTTATGAAATTTCTAGACTAAAATCAATTTGTAACGGACATAAATTCATACTGATATTGGTTATTAAGTTAAGAAAATATAATCCGAAATGAGAATGAATTAGTAAAATTTTCAAAAGTTATTCAATTAACAATTTTGGGAAAGTTCATATTGTAAATTTTCAAATAATTCTACATTTTATCAAATTTTATATGTTGATAGGTTTCAAAATAATTCATGTAGAGAAAATTGTAGTCCTGCCCTTCCTATGTTGATTCTATTCCCACTATCAAGTATCAACTATTGTAAATATCATTAATACAATTTTAGTTGGACAGCATTTTGAAGAGTGAATTACACTGAATTTCTATTTTCAAACAGGTATCAAGCTTCAGGTAGATCGTGGTTATAGTGTAGCAAAAAACAGGCATTTTAAAATTCAGGAATGATGTATGTGTGCTTTGAATATTTACAGTGCAGGGAGATTGTGATCACTTACATAAATACATATTTGGTCCTTGCGTAAAATAGTTAAATGATATGCACGAGTGGTATCTTTTAAACTATTTTCACAGATTTTTAGCAGAAATGCAATTGCCGACTACTTCCTCTATTTCGCGAAATATGAGTAACATAACAAGGTTTAAATACCTATTATAAGGATTTCGACATTAGAAATCTGCTTGTACACGGATCAGAAGCCTTTTTACACAAAATGATGAAAGTGTGCTCATATAATTAAAGTCCTTCTACATGCATATATTTGCATTGTGTAGAAATCCCGTGTAATCGTGTAACTGCATGCATAAATATGAGGTAGACTACCTCGTGCTTGTCAAAATTCATAGATCAATCTTCCAGTAGTTAGTACAAGAGTACAACATAGCGTCTCCAATGCCAAATTTTTTAACACTTAATTGCAGGTTATTTATAATAAAAGTTCTGTACGAAAAACTTACGTGGAAACCAGCTTGGTGACACTCTTCCATGACTTTGTCTTTCTTCTGGAATGTCTTCATTTTCATTTCACTTCAGACAATGTTAAGCACTTGTTTTGTTCTTATTTCACTATGAATCAACGTAATTTCAATTTCACTGGATTCCAAAGTTTATACTGGCCGAATCAACTGAAAATGACGATTTCCTACAAATTGATAATTTACAAGGTTGAGACGAAACAAATATATGTGCTTATGTGCTTACTAAAACTATTTACAACAAGCGTCGATGTGGTATAAAAGTAAAGCCACAATTTTCAATGTTAAATATTTCACTTTCCTGAAAACTCTAGTAGAACTCGTACTGCTAAATCAATGACTTTTGACAATTTGTTATGTTTCATCTTCTTCATAGTTTCTTGTTTGTAATAACTCGACATGAAACAAGGATGCCAAATACACCTGTACCATAGTTTAGGAGACCATTATAGTTTCCTGCTAACACAAACTAATTCTTCTCCCGAATTAAGTCAGGGTCAAATAAATTATAATGCAATTACCTTTCTTTATAACCTCACTTCGGCTTGTTTGGGCAATTACAAATTGTAATTTACAATACGTTTATGTGCGTATATTCAACACTGCTCCTTGTTCCGAGAAAATTGAGCAACAAAGGATTATTGCTGAAGGAGGAAGATCCGATGTAAATAATTTCAGAGTGTGTGCACCGCACGGAAAGAGTCAATTTGGAGAATTGGTTTCCTAATTAATCCACGGATGCAATGTTATTACCCGTTCTGTTATAGATGGAAGAGAGACGAGTCGAAGGGGGACGACAAGAGGGGTATTTGCCGATGGAATTGGATTAGTAATGAGCCAGTGAAGGAAGAAAAAGGACGCTGTGAGGAATAATTACTGAAAGACTTTCACTGACCATGGTTCCAGATGGGATGGAACTATATTCGTACGGGAGACTTCTGGTTAGAATCCTCGGAATTTGAATGGACACATTTCACTCGTGTGTATCCCACCCTTGGCACCCCACATCCATCGGGAGATCCAATCTACCCGACTGCACACCAACTCCAGGCCTTTTTGTACATCAAAGACCAGGGAGAGAAATACTTGCGCTCGTGTATGTGCACTTATATTGATCTGTTTCCTGTCTCGGCTTTCTCTCAGTGTAGCAAATGCTCAAGTGAAAGCATGCCATGGGAGTTCGTTCATGCATACGGTTTGCTACTGGCTTTTACTACGTGGAGTTGTTGTTTCATTTCATTTCATTTCATTTCATTTCATTTCATTTCATTTCAACTTTTATTCACGTGTAAATGGATATCAGTTAACAATAACTGGTTTGCAAACCATGACACAAAATGCTATAACTATATAAGAAGCATAATAATACCTAACTACATTTTTTCTAATTCTTACTTCATAGATAATAATAGTCGTCAGAACGCTTATTAATTATAAATTCACGACAAGATTGTACAAATTTAACATAACTCATGTTGGGGTCCCAATCTCTAGGCAGTTTGTTCCAAAGTTTAACTGCTCTATAATGTATCGATTTTTGTGCAAACGTAAAAGATGGGACGGTCAATAGGGGCCAAGTACGCCTCCCTGAAGACGAACTAACAGAGTGCAGTAGTTTTTTAAACGCATATTTGTACAAAAATAAGTCACGCCGTTCTTTAATTGACAGGAGGCTGAACTGTGTTAATAAATCATTCACATTAATTGATTGCTTATTTATCTTAAACCGTGTGTGCTTCCGATATCGATACTTTTTTGCTAGAGAAGGATAAAGGAATTTCACCAGAAACGAATTAACTTTGTGTTGTACTGCGTCTAATTGAGCGTCAGAATGGATTGCCCAGATTTCAAGGCAAAAATCCATTACGGAGTGTATATGGCTGTTGATCATTATTGCCATTACCTTATTAGTGAGGTGACGTTTTACACTATGTAAGTACCCGAGCTTATTAGATACTTTCTTTGTTACCTGTTCGTAATGGTCACTAAAACTCAGACTGGAATCTATGTACACACCAAGGTACTTGAAAACACTTACATACTCAATCGATTCGCCATTACTTAACACTATGGGTTTACACGAAGAAGAAGGTACACTACATCGCGGCTTACTAAAGATTTGAAATTTGGTTTTCGAATAGTTAATGCTTAGGTTATTCATACTATACCACTCTTGAACAATATTTGCTTGCTCAGTAATTGCTTTCATTAACAATTCAAGGTCATTACCAGCTAAGTATATAACTAAATCATCTACATACAAAAGGAACGGGATTATTATAACTTTACAGATGTCATTCTGGTATGCAGAATAATACAAACCGCTCCCGGCCGCTCCTTGGACTACACCCGTGGGATTATCATAATATTTATGACCTACTTTAAATTTGAACACTCTTTGATTCATATAGTTATATAACAGACTGATATAATTCGGGTGTACATTAAATTGTTGCATTAGCTTATTGATAAGTAGAGATCTATCGAGACTATCGAACGCAGCGCGTGCATCATAATAGATAGCAACACAATACCCATTCTTTTTATCGAGTGCAGAGTAAACATAATTCGTTTGTTTGGATATTTGTCTCCCAGTCGGGTTCGTAACCCCAATTTAGCAACCTTAACCGCAGGTGGAAATGCAATCGTGGATGCACGAACATGTTGATTTCATAACACAGGATTCAATCATGTTGATCCAGTGCAAATGCAATCATGGCGTAATCAGAGCAATGCCAAAAATACTGATAAACGGTTATCTATTTTTGTTCAAATTGACTTAATGCCATTTTTTAAACAAATCTGAGTCTTTTTTGGGTTATTGATAATTTATACGCTGCGATTCGATAAAATGCGCTCCTCCATGCAGTCGGCTGACCGGAAAGCTATTGGATTGGGATGATGATGTGAATGTCATGAATGATTGATGAAAAGGGCGAAATATCTCAGCGGATGGAAATGTCATTGGCTTACACGGATGAGTAAAATTGGGATAGTAGTCGCTAGCTGGATTAAGTTCAGAGATACTGCATCACAAGCTTTATGCAAATATGTCAGATGAGAAAGGTTGAACAGTATGAAAATAAAAAAGGGAAATAGCAAATAAACCTTTTTCACACACACACACACACGCGGAGATTGGCAGGTTTAAGTATAATTTATTTATAACTGGCAGCCTTAACGTGAGTTTGGTCAGTGACAAATAATGACTATCGTAATAGAGCATAGTCACGTCGAGATAAGCGACTTAGGACGAAACGGACAAGTCTATTATTATATATATACGATTGAAAGATCCGTGGTCAGTTCAGCGAAGTCAATTTGTTGAATAGTTGACGGTATACATGTCATTATAAATTATTTTGGGGCGGGGGAGATCGAAAGAACTGAAGGAAGGATGCTAATAAATGAGCAACTAAATGCTAAACACCAAATAAGCAGCTTTCTATCTAAATCCACACCACTGCACTACCTGATCCAGTCAATAATAATATTAGTACGGTCATAATAATAGTATAGTAAATTATAGTAAATTAATTAAAGTACCACAGTTAGGTTTCAAGCATTAATTAATGAGCAAATAGAGGGACATATAGGAGTAACCTCGATTGAGCAAAATTCTAATTCTAATGTGAGGAATAATAGTAATATGATTACAATAGTGATAAAGAAAATTAACAATTATTATAATAGTGGAAAACCATCTACTTTTTCTGGATATAATTAACGTAAAGCTTTGGAATGTTACAACAACGAGCGAATCCAAAGAACGTATTATATAGCTCACGGACGTTTGTACATTTTAATAGGCGTTCTAATACGGTATAATATAATAATAAGGCATTTTTGTTAATTTGACGTTTCTTCTTATTCGTATATATTTGCGTGAGATTTCGTTCAGAATTTCGCCAGATTCACCACCACACGTTGCGGATCGTTGTGATGAAACCACTTCAACAAAGTGACTTCGCGGACCTGACCTTTTTCCTGATTGAAATGCGAAATAGAGACAATTATACCTTTACCTGTTGTGTTACTCAATTACGTGAAGGTCATAGGTTACAACTATCAATTTGAAATTTTGATAAACCACCATAAAACTTTGTCTGGTTGAACTATCTGGGCATTGGAAGTTGAAATATATATTCGAAAAAACATGTACACCAACTTGAAAATGTCGAGAAAATGGTGATGATGATTCTATATTAATGTATACCTAATAAATCGCCGAAACCGAGTTTTTACTTTTCGTGGTTAATTAAAAAAATAATTAAATTATTCGGTATAACATATACCAAACGAAATAACATATTACTAGCCTATTATGATGATGATTATGGTTTGGACGATTCAATCCTCGACAGATTGTTTTTTAAACTAAGTTTTTTTAAGTAACAATAATATTTTCGTATATATTTTTAAGTTGTTACTTTTGCAATACCCACATTACATCATACCAGAGTCGATTTAGGAAACATTAATGTTTTTTTATTAAATGTTACATAGAGTTCTTGATGGTTTACCTATGTATTGAACAACTGAGATCGAGGCCTGAAACGCCACATCAAAGGCTACCTAATACAGAATAGCCTAAGGTTTCGAAGTCGTCGTCATCGTCTGACCAAATGGACTGATCATCTGAGTCCATCATGTCCATAAAGTCTTCAATTTCGAACCATTGTAGCTCCCACTGTTCCAAGAACTCCCAGATCGAGACAGCCTAGAATGAAAATAAAATACGACATGAGTAAATGTTCAAAGTTTTGTTAAAATATTTAAGTTTGGAAATAAACATCACAAGGACAAAGTCGTACATTTGAGTCGGAAGCAACTCCGTTTGCATCTTGTCGTCGAATACGCCGGCGTGGTGGTCCAACATCCACATTTCGTCCATCGGGACCAGCATGGAGGTAGAAACACTTGTTGCCGAATGGGCACTCTCCTGAGCCATTTTGATAGTACCGACAGTCCTTCTTACTGTAAAAAGAAATGTATCTTTAAAATATGCATCCACTATAGATTTACCTAATAAATAAAATCAAGAAAAATTCCTCTTCTACAAACCTCAAGGATTCCAGATAGCTTTGAATCAACTTTTCTTTGTCTTCTTTCTTCTCCACCCAGTATCGGCTCGGGCAAACGTAGTCAGATGTTACTCGGCACTCTGGACAAGCCCGTATTATCTTGTTCTCGAACTGCCTTGCTTGGCGCCATGTCCGAATGCAGGATAAGCAGTAGCAATGGATACAGGAAGGAAGTATTCCAAAACGTTGTTCTCCAGGCGGAGTTTTCTCCATGATCACCTAGAAACAATTTAAATATTTGAAATTATTGTATTTAGTCAAGTAAGAATTATCAAGTGAGACAGATCAATCACCTCCATACATATCCCACAAGTTTTGCCATTTGACCGCGCAACCGCAAAGGCCAATTCCATGTCGTGTTCGTGCTTACTGACACACTCCTGAAAACAACGAAAGAAAACAAATTAAATTAACTGACAAGCAACACTTTTTCAAAGTGGATTCAAAGACATACGCTGAAGTGTTGCTTCCGTTGATCCGGATAAGATGGATGCAGGCATAACATCCCGCAAAAATCACATTTCATTCCGTGCACATAAACACATTGCCTACCGAATCGACACTCCCCAACCATTGCATAGGGGCACAATTCAGCAGTCATGTCTTCAGCTTTTTAGAAAAAAAATATAAATACATATAACTCAGTATTATTTCACAACATGAATTGCATAAGATTATATCTTATCCTAACCTTGGGACGGCAACTCTGGCAGTGCACATGCTCCAGCGACTTCAGCATAGCTTCGTTCATTTGACCCTTGAGAGTCCAGGTTTGCTACAAATGAGTTGAAAATAAATATAACTGATTAGCCTTAAATGCAAATATTTAATTTAACTACAAAGATAAATAAATATTAATATTAGTTAAGTACCAAATGACCTAGGAACAAATTCTGGGGCATTTGCCCAGTTAGCAGGTGGAACAAAGCTCTTGGGTTTTGTTGCTGTTGTGGTGGCGGCGGCTGCTACCTCATTTGATGAACCGGCTGGGTTGTCAATGACATCAGATAACCAGTTTTCATACGCTCTGTAAAATAAAAATGGTTAAACTGCCCATAAATTGTGAAATCAATATACACTAAATTTTAGCAAGATCAATTATTACCTATCTTGTTCTGATAATTCATTTTCAGAGTTAGGACTCTTTGTAAGTTGAAGATCAAATTCGATAGACTTTCTTGCAGATTCAATCATTTCGGACAATCCATCGCCTTCTTTCGGTACCTCCACCCTTTCAAAAATAAAATAAAAACATTTTATCTCTCCATCCACCACTTTCTAATCTAAACTTTTGAAATATAACAAATATCAACTTAAATCAATCCTTACTTTGGTGCGACCTTTTCCTCATCTGCAGACATCCCGTTTTCTTGCTCGCTGCCTGGAGTAACTCGATGTAACCGGGAGAATGATGGAGACGTACGCAAAATAAATATTGATGTGTAAGTATTGATTAGATAAGTGCACTAGTAGTATATGAAAACACAGCACTGATTGAGAAATTGATTGACGACGATTCACAACGCTGGAGAACTGAACCCGCAGTATAATTACTATACAATGTGAATGTACTACACGATAAACGACTCGACTGACTTTTTAAGGCAAAGACTCGCACGAAATACAATTTGTCTCAATATAAAGGCAAACAACCACTAGAAGCTTGAAACTCACTCACATGAATGATGGCAAACCTCGTATCTGACTCTTTTACTAGTTTAGTTACTAATTTGTATTAGTTTTTTTGACCTGACTATACAAAAAAAAGTTACTTGTGACTTGCCCGACTTGGACCTTGTAGCACGAAATTACCAAGTTGTTACATAAAGTGGGTTGCTTAATTGCTAGAAATACTTTCACGATGAATTTAATGTAATAAGGGAATGATCAGTCTTGGATTTGAATTAAGGATAATGAAAAAAGCCGTCAAAATATCTAACTGTGATTTATAATTTTAGCGATTGTCTAATTTTAATAGCGAGCGGGAGTGAAAATCTGGGTTTTCGGATTTGGAGTTGAATGAGATTGGCTGAGCTAGCAGCAGCAGCAGTAGAATTAGAGTTACTTTGCGTTGCGATGCGACATACGAGTTGCGACTAATTAATTAATTAATTAACATAAATTTTAGCTAGTTTTACAAATTTCGATAATAATGTAATTTTATATGTTACTTCTACAATTATTCTAATAACTTGTACAATACTTTTAATTTTGACTTTTTTGACCTATTTTTGGCTTTGGTATATGGTTGGTTGTTTCTAGTTTTTCGAGAAATTATTAATAAGGTTCTAATTAACGAAAGACAAGATAATTGTCCAAATAGATAGTTCACAATAGTTCCTACTTAAACAAATTTACGCCAAAGGAATTGAGATTTGTAATCAATTAATTAGTTTTAAATGAAAGACAAATGCGAGTTTTTATGGGCAGTAACTAAATGGCGACAATGATTGGTTGAATTTAAAAATGCTCTCAGAGAATTTTAAATTCTTAACATTACTTAAATTTAATGTAACATGAAATAAATTGTAACATAAACTATACTAATTAATATCCGATAATTAATTGGTATGTGAAAAATTCTAACAGAATAAGAAATGTCAGAGAGACCCGAATTTATTATTGCGTAGTTGAGTACTGACTCTCCTTCCTTGCTTTCCTTTCCTTCAGATTTTGAATGAAATCCTTTTTACGTCAACTTTTTGCCCACTAACTTTATCCCGTAGTTACACCAAAATTAATGATAATTAAAGAAAGTCACTTTATTCCTGCCCCTCTCTCTCTCTCTCCCTACATAACTAAACACACCAAAAAAAGATACCCTTGTTCGTCTCGACTTTTGTGTTTGTATCAATACATTTATCTAGATATTTAAAATATTTGAAGAAGATGGCTTATCTTTGCAGCAGGAGGGTGAAGGGGTGCGCTTATCTTTCGTGTTGACGATGAGGAGAGGAGGAGGATTTGCTGATGAAGAGGAGGAAGATAAGCGCTGGCTGTAAAGTCAGCAATTCCAACCGTCCAACGAAACCTTTCCCATCAGAGTGGTGCAAGAAGTTGCTGGTTACATAGGTAATAGAACTCGATCTTCGGCTGGTGATTGCATTTGCTTCGTTCCTTCGTTGGTGGTGGTGGACGGATGGCATGGCATGAATACAAATCTACACTCTTCACCCGCTGAACAGAGTGAAGGTTCTTCACGGCCTAGAGGGCAGTGCAGATAAGCCAAACGGACGCTGAGTAGGAGAACAATTTTGCCAAGAAGGTAGACCAAATCTGCAGACCAAAATCTGCCAATTTCACAACTTGTTGTTGTTGTAGTAGTAGTTTATTTATCAGTGGTGGTAGTAGTAGTAAGTAGAAAGTAAGATGACATGTAAATGTGGACTGATGTAGGAGCTGAGAAGAAATGGAAATTATTTAGCAATTATTCTTGAAAGTGAGTGGATTTTTAAAATCCATATTTTATTTTTTTACTTTATTAAATAAAATATGCATTTAACGGCGATCATCAATGCAACCATAGTTTAACTTATGAAAATAAATGATGATTTTTAATGCCATATGCAATGAATTGAACCGTTTGTAACGCATAGTACGAGTAATTTGACTTATATATATAAAACTTTTATGTTGATTGCATTATTGTAATTGTATTACAAAAAATATTTACTTTTTAACTATTTCGAGAAACATTCTAAAGTAGGGCTGTCATAGTAAAACATTTATTTCATATACATGGTTTGCCAGAGAGGTACGCATTATATTATTACGTAAATGTAACTACTACAGTTTTTAAGAGTTTTGGAAAACATAAAAAGCATGTATTAATAAATCTGTAATATAAGTATATTAAAAGTGGAGAAAGCTTTGCTAGGAAGGGGGTGTGATATCACAGGAGACGATTCGAACCGTATCCACTGGTCGATCATCACCATCTGTTTCCACAGATCCAATTCTCTTCACGACGTGCCTGGAAAATATGAAATGTATTTTAGGGTTATCTTAGTTAGTGGTATGGAGTATGGTATGTTATTCAAACGGGAAAATGAATGGAATAACTTTGTATTTAATCAGTACTTACATCCCAGACTTGATGCGACCGAAAATTGAGTGTTTCCCGTCCAGCCATTGAGTCGGTGCAAGCGTGATGAAAAATTGAGATCCATTGGTGTTGGGACCTATAATGAATTTTACAACATTTTCATAAATTCCACATAATTCCATTCTAGTTATAATAGACAACCACCCACCGGAATTGGCCATGGATAAGACACCAGCTCCAGTGTGTTTCAACGACGGATCAATTTCATCGTCGAATTCTTTCCCATAAATGGATGCACCCCCCCTTCCAGTGCCCGTAGGATCGCCTCCCTGAATCATGAACTCTCGAACAACTCGGTGAAAAATAGTACCATCATAATAACTAAATTAAAAACGCGAATCATTTACAACCATTACTTTGCAATAGGTTTAATGTAAGATAGGAAAAAAATGAATATACCCTCGAGTCGTCAATTCAGCGAAGTTCTGGCATGTTCGAGGAGCATGTTGCCAGTAGAGCTCAATCACTAGATCTCCCATTCTAAAAAATTAACACAAATTTCCAATGAAATTTCTTATTATTATGAGGCAAGTCCTCAAATTGGAAAAAAATCTTACGAAGTTCGCATCGTGACCGTAGCAGGTCTCTCACTCCCAGCAGTACCGCGGGACAGCAAATCAGTCATGGTCAAGATGCGATATGTTCTTCCCCGACCTTCTACAAAATCTTCGCACAAGTTAATCCGTCAAGTCGACGAGAACGAATAAACCTCAACTCTAAAGTAAAAAATCACGAATTAAATAGAATAAAAACCAAAATCTCCCGTTCAGCCTTGTGCGAAATGTCTCCACTCGTATACTTTGTTTGAATTACAAGTCCACAACGTTAATTTTAAGAGATGATAACCAGAAGTCAGGCCAACTTACGTTTCGCGAAGATATTTTGTGAAGCTCGTGGAGAGAAGGTCGTCGATTCCTCAGAGTTCGCGAGCGAGTGAGTGAGTGAGTGAGCACGGAGATGCAATTTTCTGGAAGCCACCACCACCACCAGCTTTCCTCCCTCTCCCGTCGGCACCCAGGCAGGAGGCAAGTTGAGACTTAAGTCTCGTCATCTCCATTTTCCATGAGAAACGACCAAGTTATTATTATTATTGCTACTGGTAAATAAATAGTTAAATGGTTATGATTAAAGCTACATTCATGCACCTTCATTTCTTATTCATTCAATATGATGAGAATAACACGGCGAATATACAGCTCTGTGGAATATAACAATAACACTTGCACTTCTTGTGCATCATTTTGCACACCATTACAGTTTGTGATTGTGCATGATTATTTTCACATACAGCAAAATGTATGGAGGATGATATTTGGTGGATGGATGACGCATTTTTGCTTATATCTCTTACTTTTGGGACAGCCGAATTTAGCTAATTTTTGTGGTTATGCATAACTTTTGTGAATTGAATCAAATCTCAATGAACCTTTGCATGAAGATGTAGCAATACTTTAGTCATAATATAATAAAACTTTGGGCCTCAGGACAAAGCTATTAAAAAATAGCTGCATTTTCTAAAATCATCTCTCCATTTTGAGACAAATTGTGTTTATTCCTTACAACAGCTGAAGTTTCCACGTGTCCTTGGTGTATGCCTAATTTTATTGATTAGTTTGAGGCACTCCGGTGTTTAACGTGCAAATCAGGATTGAGTAGAAAAACCCTTGGGTTTCACTACTTTTAACGGCGTTGCAGGTGGATGGTTTCTAAAGAGGTACAGTAAAGTTGATTCACTTACATATGTGTAACAGTTTACTACAATCTTATACTAATCACACATATGCAGTCCTTCGTAACACCGTAAAATTCAACAAGTTTTGCAAAATTAGCTTATAGACTTTTAAAAAATAAAAAACTTCCACGACCCTTGTAAGGCTAAACGTATTGTAAATGCTAAATATATGTTTGTAAGCTGATTTTCCCTCAAAATTTTTTAAAAGTTTCGTAAACATTTGTAAGTTTACCAATTTTACGGTGTTGCCAAAGACTATGCGTGAATTGTCTCATTATTCAAGAAATGTTTCTATTTTCAGGTGTCCTTTGCGCCATACATTATATGCACTAGTTGCTAGTACCAACTGCTCATCTTTATCTTCGGATATTACCAATTAATAACCACAAAAACCGTCTTCATTAGATATGGCATCATATCATCTTCATTTACGGCACAAACTCCCTTGGCATTTATTCTCCCAGGACTACGTGAACAAATGTCCTGTGGGGATCGAACTTCCCATCGGGGAATGTAACAAGATCCACTTGACGAGTAAGAAGGTCCAACTTCAGGTCAAGCATCGACCTTACCTCTCAGATCAGATATGCCCCTGTTCACCAGATGCCTGTAAATCCATCGGCAAGACAGCATTATTCTACAAGGAGGTTCCCAACCCTGAAAAAAGTGGTCATGATTTAGGATCCCATCAGAATACAGCCAACTTGACGAAGCGTTGGGACCAATTTTTCACCGCATTTTCCTCCACGATTGTCGAATTTGCTCACTCCCAGCGTGAAAAAGTGTCATCTAGAGTTATAAAAAGTGACAAGGATCAACTCCTCGTCTGGAAGAGAATCATGGAACGAGAGAACCTTCCAGAAAAGCGTATTTGTGCCAGAGAGGTGTGTGACGCTTTCACGGATCTAATTGAGGTCGGTGATGTCGACATACTTCTTGGTTTCTCGGATGAGACGATAAAGTTGGTATTTGCTTGTCAGCATGGTGGCCAAGCAGTGGGGAACAATATCCAGTTCTTACTCAATTCTTTGTGGACTGTGTATTTCTATACAAATCTCATAATGATGTATGGGCTGGAAAACCAGCCAGAAAAATGGGGTCCAATGACATCCAGTAAACGCAACTTTAGAACGAGTGACTGTGACGGGCAAGGATTTCTTAGTGGGAGTCGCAAATTTCTAGGAGAGGAAGTTTACATGAAGGATTTGGTCGAAATGAAAACCATGTGCAAAAGTATTTTCAGATTCTTCTACTTGACCGAAATGCTGTGGAGGGAGGTGTACAAGAGGTCGTACCCTTGGGAGAATATTGCATACATGTTAAATTATTAAATTACTCTTGATCTTTAAAAGTATAATATGCCTTCATTTTATGAAATTGAATATGCCAATGAAAATATGAGTAAAGACTGTAAAATAGTTATTTTGTACTCTCTTTTTACTAAACTTAACCAAATTCAACTACTACACTTATATCATTTATAAGATAAGAAAGATAACCTTAACAACAAAGATGTAAATATAATAAGCCTTGCGTGATATTCGGAATATATTCATGCAATATTAACCGAAAAATGTAAAGACTTAAATAATTGAGATTTGAACAATTTTATGAAATAAATCCAAGTTAGTAGATTAGAGCTACAACAACATTTGAAGCGGTTATCATAACAGGTAGGAGTTTGATTGAGTTGAATGAATGTCTAATAAAAAAAATTTAGTAGCAAACGGATATTATTCAGCATAAAGTATGTATGCAACGCATTATTACTATTATTACCATCTCATCTAAAGCAAAGTATCATCACCATGCACAAAGAGAGGAATTACTTGATTGTGTGAATAATTGATAGTAGTATAATAATAACAACATGTTAAAATTTAGTGAGTGCAACTCTTATTAATAGCGAATTAATTCAATTAACTGCAAGTCATAATAAATTCTTTAGCAAATACATATCTTTTCTCTACAATATGAATATATTGAATATATATATATATATAAATATTTATGCTTTTCATAAGGATTCATGACTCTCTGCTGTGATGTATGTCTATCAAAATTAATAGCCAAAAACTGTGTAGAAGCAAAGCAAAATTCATACTACTGCAGAAAGGTCATTTTTAAAAAATGATGATATCAATAAATCAAACTATAACGTAATAAACTCTCATTAATAAATATCTGTAAATTTGGTGTGTAATTATATATTAATTGAGCCTAAATAACTCGGACACATGTTGCTTGAATTGTTATTTGGCTATTTGCAGTATTAAAAACTTGAAATAAGTATAATATTAAATGTAATGAGTAGGTAATTATATGATTAATTAAACTTGCTTCGTGGTGATGCGATGATGGGTGTGGTGTTGCAGATTTCTTAACTTTTGATAACGTTTTTCACCTCTTTAAATTTACTTGCATGTTATTATTCCATATTTTAAAAGGGCAAGGTTATTCTCTCATTCTCCTCAATCGTACCATTTGCTTACTCTTATACTCCTTGCAATTTAGAACTGACTTAATTGTTCGTGCCGTATAAAAATAACACATCTAAGTCTACTCAATGTAACAATAAGTAGTCGTAGTAGTAGTTGTATAGTATAGTAGTAAAATTAGAGTAACATTACTTTTGGTTTCTTTAAAAGTTTTTTATCAAATTGTGAAACATATAATAGGTGCCATCATCGCGTCTAATAATTGCCACCTCATATTAGCTTTATCTGTCTCTCAATCATCAGCATCAGGATCGTCATATATCATTTTGTTTGTCGTAGAAATATTGAAAGGTTGTTGAGGTGCAGCATGTATTATAGGAATTAAGAACAATAGGATTCGGCAGCAGCAGTTCTTAATAGTCTGCATATGCATACCAATTATCAAAGTTCATGAATTCTTATAATTTCGCTCATTTCTTTTTAACACTTACAAGTAAAAGGTATAATCTCTTCAACTTCATATATGAAGCTGCTATAGTCACCACAATATCAAATCTCGTAGCAAATTGCATGCCATTGTAAAATTCAATAGAAACAGTCACACAAATAATACACTCAGTAGTGAAGTCATGAGAGAGAGATTAAAAAGATGGGGGAGACGATCAAACTTACAAAAATAAGTCACAAAATGCAATACAAAGGTTAGAAATATCTTGCTCAGATACAATACGATCCAGAATAACATTCAAAATTAAATAATTAACATATATTATACGTATGTATTATGTAAACTTCTTTGCAAAATGAGAAAGGCAAAACTCTTCAGAGATCGGCGTCCATCGTTTATCCATAAGACTTTCTTTGCATCCACTTGGACCTAAATTGTCCATATGATGGATGCCCAAGTGTGAAACTAATTATGTTTATTCAATAAATCTCGAATTTCTCAAAAATTTCAGACAAATTCGTACTTTGTCGGGAGTCTAAAATCGATTTGTCTTTTGCCGTTGTCATTTTGCATGTGTAACAAGTGTTATTATTTTTACGGGGAGTAGTAGGGTGGGGAATTGGGGAACACATAATTTTATGCTATGTATAATATTACCACACACACGTATTCAATATCCGTACTCTTGTTAAACTCTTACAATAACCGCTCAATTGGAAGAAAGTGTAATTAAAAAAACAATTGTTAATATATTTGTATGTATAAAATGTTGAGGGGGTCGTGATTCTCGTGATGTCAAATAATATTTATTGTGAACGTGAGAAAATTGACGTGGTTCAGATACGGGATAAAACAATTGACAGTTGACAATTAGAGCATAATAATTAACTTTCCTCCGCGGTCACAGTCATGGCTAATGATTGGCAGGTACTGGTTTGTTTCCCTAAAGTTCACTGATTCACTTTCACATAGAATATTATACAGTCGGTCGCTCGGTCGGTAAATGTAGTACCCTTGGCTTTCTTTTCTCTTTACTACAAATGTACGCTGCTCGCTTCTGCAGAAGTCGTCATTACGGAATTCTTGCTATGATGACTGCTCATAAAACTCGTCGTTGATTTTTACTTTGTACATTCAGCGAAACCAGAAATACACTTTTCTCAGATTACTCTTTGACGCAGGAGTTTATAAACTCTTAACCAGAAACAACAACTATCTCTTAACCAATCAAGTTCAACGGCACAGAAAGCACATCAATAAGAGATCAGGCTTAGGCAACAATCGGATGTCCTTTCATTTTAACCTACTTACAGCAATAATCATAATATTCCTATCAATCTGATTCTCTTATCTTTATCTCTACTTAATAAACGGAGATCTTTCAAACATTCAGTAACAAACAGTATGTTGCAGTTGCACTTCTAGTTTCATCAAAACAGGAATAGAATTCACGATATTAAAAAGAACGGAATTATTACAGACACAATGAAAAATTTTTCAGCGTGAGGGGACGAGGAGGGCTCATCTTTGCGTCACGTATTTTACAGGTGATATAGCCCTTGAGCACGAATGGCCACTCATATTTCGCATTCTTAACATGAAAAATTAAGTAGTCACTCCCACTCAGTTCAAAATTTGTCATTCAGAATATGATCTTAACTAGAAAATATATACGCAACCAACTTGCAACAATGTGAGGAGAGAGGAGAAAGGTCAAAGGGAAAGCACAATCTCTTTTGGATGATACATATATATGTAATAGCGATATTAAGCTTATAATATATTCTGATGATAGACACCAAATCAGGTGAAAAACGAATATTTCATTGTAGTTGCTGTTTTATATTGTGCTCAGGTTGCGGTTTTGAAATTATTACGTTATTGTGGCTCAGTTTCCTCCACCTCATCCTCCAGTTTCCTTTTAGTACCCCTATTTTCAGGAGCGTTCGATGATTCTCCTCCTTTACCCTCTTCACCTTCTAAAACATTACAAATCCCCGATTAATTTCCATTGTCGATTAATATATGGGAAATACCAATTTAATTTATTATTTCGCAAAAAAAATGTAGAGGCCAACTAGATTAATGTACAAATCCCAAGCCGACAAAAAGCAAAAAAAACATCCAACAAATGTCTGAAAAATATACCAATCGTCTCCTCGAGATCTTCCTCATCTGACTCATCCACGACATCCTCTTCTTCGTACTCTCCACCATCACTTTCCTTCTGCAAGGACAAAGTATTTCACCAATTAGTGTATATTACTTTTCATTACATTTTACTGCGACAGAGACTCCAAACCTTACTTATACATGCATATGTATTATTGTTATTTCGAGTTAAATTCGGTGTCTAAGGGCATTTTCGTACTTACTTCCAAATCATCACGATAGATATCTTTTAATCCAACTTCCTCATCGCTTTCTTCTTCGCTTCCATCTTCTTCTTCATCCACCTCTTCATCCTCTCCACCCCCACCATCTTCATCGTCTTCTGCAAACAACAAACCATACAATATCACTACAATATCAACTTGCGATAACTATCAAAATTAGTAATTCTACTTCTCTTACCATCATCGTCGTCATCATCATCTTTTCCATTCATTTCTTTCAAATCGTCATCCTCAAAGTCGGAATCAAATTCCTTTCCATTTTTGTCGACTCCTTTAACAGTAAAAAATGAATGTAGATTATGAACATATTTCTTCTACACATAGTAATAAACAAATGAATTGGATAAATATTAATTTTTCATACCATCAAGATAAGACAATCCCGGCAGAAGGTTGAAAACTTTGTCTCTGTACTCTTCAATTTGCGTGACTTCATTTCTGTACAAATCTACGCTTTTTAAGTTGGACAACTCCTTTAAGGGTTCCAAGGTCTCCATATCCTTGATTTTGTTATTGCTCAAGTTTAAAATTGTCAGAGTGGGACAATCCTTCAACACTTGAAGTCCACCAGATACACGGTTGTCACTCAACTCCAACTGTAAAAATATAAAAATTAAGCTTCAATCCAATTTTTTATGGCCAGTTAATTTCCCTCGTCAAACGGCCTCTCTATTAGCACTGTCAATATTGTCCTGTCAAAAACCCCATCCACTCACCTTCTTCAATTTTGCAAGCTTTGGAAATCCTTTCAAACTAGTAAGACCCACACCAATTAAACTCAAACTCTTCAGGTTGACAAATTCGTCCGTGAGCCCTTCAATACTTGTGCTCCGGCAATTGTCCAAAACCAGCTCGTGAATCTGCAAGTATGTCAAAATAACGGTCATATTAGTATTAAACAATTTCAAACATTTCCAAGTATTTTCTACTCTCTCATATTTTGGCACTCAAAGTTGGACGACCTCGACAAGTATATAGCGCACACGGAAATAGAAAACATACAGCTCCTCCTGGTCACACATTCCGTCCCCACAAGACAGGAAATGGTGACCAGAGACACAACTTTGGTAAAAGTAGGGGCCCTTGAGAGGGGTGACATTTCCGAATTTTCTCACTCACCCCACTCTCTCCCTCCGTAAATGTAAGATCTCATACTTGTTTATTATTGTCACTATAAGAATGCCACACTTCACCCCCTTTGATCCCCCCTTCATACCTGTGACGAATCACGTCTCCGCTTCTCCAACTCGATCCTTTTCTCCATCCTCGTCTAGGTGGTGACCTTTGTGAATGTCTTCCTTATTGTGGGGTCGTGGTGTCGTGGGGACTGTTGTGATGCGGCCTGTTTGTGTGTGTATGAAAGCAGGGTTTTAGCAGGAACACAGAGTGAGTAGCAGCAGTGGTGGTAGCACAAGTAGTGAAATACACTCTCTCGCTATTTAGGTATGCGACGACTTGGTAGTGGTTTGTGTTGGTAGAAAAAGAGACGTCGTCCATCCAACACTGAGCGGTTCGTGTTGTTGTGATGAGAGCAGTGCACACTCAATGCCAGAGAGAGAGAGAAAAGATGATGATTCCGTGTGCCGTAGAGCTGTACAAAAGCCTCCTCGTATTCTGCTCTTGGTGGTGTGTTGCTTGGTGGTGGTGGACGAGTAGTAATAAGGTGAGAAGTTCTCTCTCATCTGCCCTGCCACCTTTCCGGCAGCCGCGAATTTCACGACTCTCCGCCCCCTCCTCCCCCCCATTTTTAAAGAGCCAACTTGCCCCCACCACCAACAACACCATGCTCGTACATGCCCGTTCACTTTTCCTTGGCGTGAATGATATTCACTTTCCCGATAACTTGATGATGATATGACTTTGATGATGACAATGTGGGGGCAGGATTGATTTATATGCGATTTATATTCAAGGTCGAGGTCGGAAATCTGATGACCAAAATTATGCAAAGAAAGTAGGTCCAAATTTTATATAAATTTTTATTCATTTTGCTGCTTTTTTTTAGGTTTCACAATTATACCGTCATCAGAAGAATCATCATCATCATGTAGAGATAAAGCCGTGTATATAAATTGGACACTTTTCCTTGTTTTTTAACTCTTTCGGTTTTAGTAAATATAAAATCTGTGTGTATCTGAGATATTTTTAATATGCACGTTTCTACACGTAACAAAATGAGCTTTTTTAAATATGTGGAATAAGAACATGAATAATAATAATAGTTACTGCCGCATCGTGTCTGAAACTAAAATACCTTGGTATTCCGTCCTCATCACTTCTCAATTCATTAGCTCTGGAATATTAACAATCGTAAATGCTAACTATAGTCTAAAATTATAATAATAATAATGCGGTATAATTATAATTGATAATTTGTTGTACTCGAACATCCAAATTCTACAAACAATCGTATCGTGTTTACTACCTAGGCACCACATTCAATCAATCAATCCGCTCTGTAAATGCGTCTAAATCTGTAGAATAAAATGAGAAGTATTTTTTTAAACCTTATATACAAGTCATGATCATGATCTATCTACTATTAGTAGTCGGATCAGCTGAGTATATAAACCATATCTTATCAATAATAGGTTTTTCGAGATGCTGCACTCCTCCTGCGATTTTCACGTTGTTCCTCTTCACAAATCCTAGCTCTCTCGTCTTGACGCCTCATTTCACGGTTCCTCAGCTCTTCTTCTCGCTGTTTTCGAGCCTTCTCGCCCACAGCAGCGATAGCAGCAGCAGCAGCAATAGTGGCGTCATAGCTCTGCAAAGAAAAAAAATACAAATGCAATAAGAATAATAACATGAAACTGACACGAGTATTTTTTTATTGGGCATCAAAATACTTACGTGTTGACTTTCTTCGTCGAGACGTCGTGCTGCTTCGGCGGCCAATTCTCTAAGTGGATTGTATGAATTGTAAACCGAACGCTGTTGCATCTCATGATGATTACGAGCGCTATGGTTCATTAAATCCTGTTGCTGCTGACCACCATTGTGCATGCCGTAGTAATAAGGTTCGGCCTGTTCAGGCTGCAAGTGCAGCGGTTGAGGATGGTACTGTGAATTTTGTTGACTGGAGCCGTAAATTGGTCTGACAAATGATCTTGGCATGTTCCAATCACGATGATGATAAGAGTACTCTGCTTGTGCTCCTGGAAGCTCGCGGCTGACCTCTCTGGCTCTGTTAATTAAAGAAAACCTGTCTGGATGGTCGCAAACAGCTTGGGCATGAACAATTCCATTTTCGTAAGCAACTTCCACTGGGTATTGGCTGGTCATCATTGGCATACTGACGACAGGGGGAGCTCCCTGGTCGTACCGGTATTGATGAATGGTAACTTGAGGGGAACCTCGGCCTTCTGGGGGATGAATTATAGCTGGCGGTTCCAATGCAATGTTTGGTGACGAGTGATCGTGAATAACTTGATTTGGGCGAGCTGCAGCGTAAAACATTCGTCGATCAGACAAGTCCTCACCGTAACTTTGTACTCCCAATGCTTCGGCGTGCAAAATTCGAATCTTAAGTGGGGGACCTGACTCGTCGTCGTTTCGCTCGGCTTGAGCAGTCGCGGTAGCATAAATCAGGTTCAAATTTTCAAGATTCTCTTGGTGGTTGTTGAGAGAGTACGGATGCTCAATCGTCATTTGAGATGGGTAATACATATTTCCAGTATAGGGCTCTTCAGGATTTTCCTGAAAGTAGAATCTAGGTCCACGATTATCTTGAGGTTGGTGGTGATTCACCAGTTCTTGATCGCTATCGATTTTTGCAGCATGGACCAAAATTTCAGCTTCCGAAGACTTTGGAATTTGCAAAATTTCAGGTAAATTGGGAGGTTGGAAAACTCCAGGTAGGGGAGATTTGGGGGTTTGCAAAATATCGGCCAGTGAAGATTTAGGATTCTCCAAAATTTCAGCCACTGGAGATTTGGGAGTTTCCAAAATTTCGGTCAGTGGAAATTTGGGAGTTTCCAAAATTTCGTTCAGTGGAGACTTGGGAGTTTCCACCATCTCGATAAGTGGAGATTTGGGAGTTTCCAAAATTTCGTTCAGTGGAGATTTGGGAGTTTCCAAAATTTCGGTAAGTGGAGATTTGGGAGTTTCCAAAATTTCGGTAAGTGGAGATTTGGGAGTTTCCAAAATTTCGGTAAGTGGAGATTTGGGAGTTTCCAAAATTTCGGTAAGTGGAGATTTGGGAGTTTCCAAAATTTCGGTCAGTGGTGATTTGGGAGTTTCCAAAATTTTGGTCAGTGGAGATTTGGGAGTTTCCAAAATTTCGGTCAGTGGAGATTTGGGAGTTTCCAAAATTTCGTTCAGTGGAGATTTGGGAGTTTCCACCATCTCGATAAGTGGAGATTTGGGAGTTTCCAAAATTTCGTTCAGTGGAGATTTGGGAGTTTCCAAAATTTCGGTAAGTGGAGATTTGGGAGTTTCCAAAATTTCGTTCAGTGGAGATTTGGGAGTTTCCAAAATTTCGGTAAGTGGAGATTTGGGAGTTTCCAAAATTTCGGTAAGTGGAGATTTGGGAGTTTCCAAAATTTCGGTAAGTGGGGATTTTGGAGTCGCCAAAATTTCGGTAAGTGGAGATTTAGGAGCATCCAAAATATCGGCCATTGGAGATTTTGGAGTTTCCAAAATTTCAGTCAGTGGAGATTTGGGAGTTTCCAAAATTTCGGCCAGCGGAGAGTTGGGAGTTTGCAAAATTTCGACCACTGGAGATTTGGGAGTCTCCAAAATTTGGGTCAGTGGAGATTTGGGAGTTTCCAAAATTTCGGCCAGCGGAGAGTTGGGAGTTTGCAAAATTTCGACCACTGGAGAGTTGGGAGTTTGCAAAATTTCGACCACTGGAGAGTTGGGAGTTTGCAAAATTTCGACCACTGGAGATTTGGGAGTCTCCAAAATTTGGGTAGGTGGAGATTTGGGAGTTTCCAAAATTTCGGCCATTGGAGATTTGGGAGTCTCCAAAATTTGGGTCGGTGGAGATTTGGGAGTTTCCAAAATTTCGGCCATTGGAGATTTGGGAGTCTCCAAAATTTCGGTAAGTGGAGATTTGGGAGTTTCCAAAATTTCGGCCACTGGAGAATTGGGAGTTTGCAAAATTTCGATCACTGGAGAGTTGGGAGTTTGCAAAATTTCGACCACTGGAGATTTGGGAGTCTCCAAAATTTGGGTCGGTGGAGATTTGGGAGTTTCCAAAATTTCGGCCAGCGGAGAGTTGGGAGTTTCCAAAATTTCGACCACTGGAGAGTTGGGAGTTTGCAAAATTTCGAGCACTGGAGATTTGGGAGTCTCCAAAATTTGGGTCAGTGTAGATTTGGGAGTATCCAAAATTTCGGCCAGCGGAGAGTTGGGAGTTTCCAAAATTTCAGCTTCCGGAGACTTTGGACTTTGCAAAATTTCAGCCTGTAGATTGGGAGGTTGGAAAACTCCAGGAAGGGGAGATTTGGGGGTTTGCAAAATTTCAGCCACTGGATATTTGGGAGTCTCCAAAACTTCGGTCAGTGGAGATTTAGGAGTTTCCAAAATTTCGGCCAGCGGAGAGTTGGGAGTTTCCAAAATTTCGGTCAGTGGAGATTTTGGAGTTTCCAAAATTTCGGCCATTGGAGATTTAGGAGTCTCCAAAACTTCTGCATGTGGAGCTTGAAAAATTCCAGGTTGTGAGGGTTTGGGAGTTTGCAAAATTTCGGGTTCTATGAGTATTTCAAAAGTTTCGGTTTGTTGGACATTAAGTTTCGGAGAACCCGACGACTGCTTATCAGCAACATGACTGAGGCCAGATTCATTCTGATGTACTTCCTTGTTTTGTAAATCACAGTACTTCTGTTCTGCTTGTTCAATATCACCTGCGTCTAGAAACATGTATTTTTCCCTCTCAACATCTTCATCTTTTGGATTGGTCTCCTTGTCGTGCAAGTGACCAGACTCTTCATCGTGTCTCTCCATATCGTCATCCATACCTTCTGGAAAAATAGACCGAGCCCGACCGACAAGAATTTTGCAGTCGTGATTAAAATCTTCCGGCCCGTTTAACTCTTCAAACACGGTTTGAGTTTCTTTCTCATCCACAAAGACTTCGTCTGCATCGACTGCATCTTCAGTACCACCAGCGTGCGAGATGATAGACGTCAATTCCTACAAATAAAAATAGAATTATTAATTTAAAATGCACAGTTAATGTTTGCAGAAGTGGACAACCACTTATAAAAAATCAGTACATCGACTTTATCTAATTCGGTCAATAGGTTTGAGTACAAGACATAAAAACTACCTGGATAATTAATTCTAGAATCGTGTGAAAACTGTGAAAATTTTGCGTTGAATTTCTATACTATGCATTTTGATTTTGAGAGTCATAAATGGTAGGTATAAATTTAAAAAAAACCATGTACATATATCTGATGAGATATGATTCTCTAATTATGCAGAAATTTTTTATCTACTTTTTGGTGAAATATTTGTTATCAATACTAAAATTTAAGTCTCTTGCAAGTCAAAACTGAGGTAAAACAAACATTCACACAATTAATAATAAGAGTTTCGAAGAAATAAATCTTACAATTTGAGGATCGTGAGTGACGGTGCCCGGCTTGTCAAAAAGTCGAACTCCGCAATCACTTGGAGTCAAATTTCTCGATTTTGAAAACAATCCGTCAGGGGTACGAGGGATTTCTGCGTTTAATTCTTGCTCAGATTCGGACTGCGAGGCAAACTCCATAAAGGATCCGTGAGGACTCTGGTGATCTGGATGTAATTTGTCCTCTCTTGCTGATCTTGAAGTAAATCCCATAAATGAGTCCTCCGTATCGGGCAGAATATAGTTTTCTGGAATTATTAAATAAGTATTAATTAAGTGTTCATGATATTACTTGTTGAGAATGATCTTTAAACGATAAAATGGAGAGTAAGTTTCATAGTGCATATATAAATTAATCTGCATAAATAAATTATTTTGGACTTACCGAAACTTTCTGATTCTACTTTTTCTTCTTCATTGTCTCGAGGAGAAAGCTTAATCGTAGCCTGTGCATTTTCTGCACCAAGATCTTCCTGCAAGACCGGAGGGGAAGACGTAGTTGGGGAACTAGATGTGAAATAATCATCGGCATGGTTGCTGCTAAAATCTTGCTCAGCCATTTCCACGTTATCGTCACGAGGCGAAAGGTTGGCCGTAATAATGACTTCTTGCACTTTTATCGTGGGGGTCTCTTCAGGGATGACATCCATTGTTATTGCTGGCTTGGCTTTCTTGGCAGCCTTATTTATTGGTTTTCTTTTCTTCGAGGACGATGGTTTCATGGGGTCTTGTTCAGATTTTATGGTTTGTGCATGTGGACCATTTAACTGTGCCGTCCGAATAACATTCGAGCTATATGAAAATTTTAAGAATTCATTAGCGAATACATTACCTCATGTAAGACTAAAATTAAACTCTCCCTCTCTCGCTCTCTTGACTTCGCATGAGAATTGAGTATTTTGCAAATCATACATGACTTACATTACTGCTGAGTTGACTTTTGAAGCAGGAACTGGCGAGTTAGCGTTTATAGCAAGGTACTCTGCAGCGGCTTCGTTCGCCAACTGTTTTGCCACTTCTTTTGGTTGGTTGTGGGTATTCTTTATGTGACGGTCAAGATTGTCCTTACGCCGAAATGCCGTTCCACAAATCCAACATTTGAACGGACGTTCGCCTATACAAACATTAAAATTTAAAAATTTAACATGTATTCATTAGTATTATTCTTATGATGTGACGTACCCGAATGAATGACAAGATGTCTTCTGAGATCCTTGCTGTTGGAGAAAGCTCGTGTACATTGATCGCATGCATAGGGTCGTTCACTGGAATGTGTTCTCAAGTGAAGATCCAGCGTCCACTTTAGTCCAAAGCTTTTTCCACAGTGAGTGCACACATAGGGACGCTCCCCTGTTTTGTAAAAAGAATCAATTTGATTAGAAATAAAGATCATGAGACACATTAGCAGAAAATATTGCATTCATTAACCAACCTGTGTGAGTAATTATATGTTTCTTTAAGTTGGTCATTCCAGTGAATCGCTTGTTGCAATATTTGCATGCAAAGGGCCTTTCACCGGTGTGGATCAAATGGTGGGATCTCAGGGCTTGGGCGTTGGCGAATCCACGTCCACATTCATCGCAGACGAAAGGTTTTTCCCCAGTATGACTGCGCATATGACGAGTAACTTTTCCCCTCTGATTAAAACCCTTGCCACATTTGGGGCAGACATACGGCCTCTCGCCTGCAAGTAAAAATAACAATTAAAAATATGAGTCATTTTAAAATTTCAATTCAATATTTATATTTATATTTAAAAATACACCACATAGTAAAGTAGATATTATTACCTGTATGGGTTCTCAAGTGATACTCGTAGTGAGATTTGGCAATAAACCCTTGTCCACACTGCTCACACTTAAAAGGCTTCTCACCGTTTTGACAAAATTCGTGGTACTTAATGTGAGCTTTGGTTTTAAATTTTTTCATGCACACGTTGCATTGGAACATGGTGGGTTCACCTAAAAGATGTAAACAGAAATATGTATTGAGTGGTTCTAGTTTACATGTAAGTTGATATTGGCATAGCTTGACATATATTTTATTTATTTACGGCATACCAGATATCACAGTTATATGATCGTGAATCACGACTGGATTTCTCTTCTTTTTCTTTTTTTCCTTATTGGGGTCCGGTAATGAAGGTTCATCACTTCCTGAGCTCTCATGATGATGATTTGAGCTCCTTGGGGCTTCGGAAAGTTCATCGGAAAGATCTTCTTTACTGGGAGAGCTTCTCGCCGCTTTCACGGGACTGACGGGAACAAGTGTACAGCTGGACTTGATTGCCGTAGATGTTGAGGGCATAGAAGACATAGAGGACACGGCAACATCAGAGACTGGGTATTTTCCACCCGATTTTGCAGAGACTGGATTAATGTTAGAAGAGGAGATAACTCCATTTGGAGGACTTTTTGATACTTTCGCCGTAGCAGCAGTCTCAAGAGAAAGGGTGGTACGGGTCGCAATTGTTGCAGACGCTGAAGGCAGTGTGCGTAGACCGATATCAACAGGGGAACGATGCTGTAGTTGCTTTTTGCCAAGCAATTCAGAACCTTGGTTAATGTTGCTGCTACCATAACCATTCCTTTCAGGACCATTTGTTTGGTATCTGGTACTGGGAGCGTTCCCTTCATTTGCCTTGGTACTGCTTCTTGGTGTTCCATACACTCTCAAATTTGCGGGGTAGGTGCGAACGGGTGGGGTAGAGTCAATTTTATGTTGAGCTGGAAGCGTTGCTACTGAAGAGTTAGAGGTGATAACCTTGCGGGCCGAACTGGCTGAAGAGGGTGTGGGTTGAGCCTTCGTACATTGAGAGCAAGGTGTTGCTTTGATCAAGCATCGACGACATCGAATATGCCCACAAAATTCTCTCAAAGGTCGATTGTCAGTGAGATCTAGAGGACTTTTGCATTCAGGGCATTCTTCTACACCTGGAATATAATGAACATATTTACATATAAAACATGGAATTACTAATTAAATTTATATTAATTAGATAGTTCAAACGTTACAAGTTTATTGAAATATTAAAGCACTCACCAAAGAGTTTTAAAACACTGTTTATTCCGTTTCCTCCTATACCGACAATTCCGACGGGAACAATTGCGTTGCTGGGGTTTTGGGACGACTGAGGATGAGCCTGCCGAGACAATGCTGCACTTCCATTTCCGCTTTTTCGCACCATTGCAGGCTGAAAAATAAATCAGTAAAAAAGCGAATGAGTACCCAAATACTTTGCCATCGCTCTTACAGGAAGCATTTCATTGTAACATCGCTACACAAATAAAAGCCATAAACCAATACAAAGAACTTATCAGAGTACAGAACCTTTACGAATGCTTATTATCAATAAATATTACGGAAAAATTACAAGTAATTACTCCAATTAATACAACTGCACCATTCATAACTCAGTTCTGTAATCTGTTGAGATATTCGGTCTTTGACAACTGCTAGTTTTTTTATCATCCAGACCAATATAATTGAACCATTCTTTCTTGCGAGAGAAAGGTCAACATTTCATATGACCATTTTCATCACAATATCTTACGCATTTCACGAAAGACACGCGTACGCGTCCACCTCAGATTCATCCCCATCCGTTTGACGTAGTTCATCATCATGTTAGACTGCCAGGTATCCTGTTCATGTAGTCAATTCATTCATTATTATTACATGTCATACGCACCACGCGTTCGAATTCCTCATAAACCTTGAGGTCCAAAGATAACATTTGCATACTTCACTTTCGGTATATATTACTCGCACGTACATCTTATACTCTCACTTTCTACTTTCACAGTGTATAGTTCGCGACCCAATATTGACAACAGTGTTAACGGTTTCGTATTTGTTCATATATTGATTCATAGATTATATTGACGTATTTCTATCGACCTAATAATAACCACATTTGATAAAAAGTACCGTACCCGGCCAATTACATTATAATACCCAATTCCAAATACACAGTCAATTGTATACCAATAACTTCAAACTATTAACTTTATTCGGGCATAACATCCGCCCGCAACCAACAGAAAATACATACGCTTTTGCGTATTGTTTCTCCATTATAATTACCACCTTCGCTCGATCGTTAGCGTTTCATTGATTTAACCTTATTTTAAATATGCCCTTGATAATTTATTTTTTACCTCCAAATAAGTGGGCATTTAAACTGAGCTATAGTTAGTTTTACATTAGAATTTCAACACACAACATTGACGAGATGTTTTATTGTTTTTATTGTTATTATGATACCCCGATGCATGTATGTATACATATTATGCAAATTGAATATTCTCATATTCAACTCAAGTGTTAGTTTGTGAAATTTGTAATGCAATGAGAGCGTAACCCAATACTCAAGCAATTAATTTAAGTGATGCATGTCAGTTAACGACACAATTAAAGCTTCCATTTCCTCCCCTGCTCTCTTCTCGGCCGCTTTTGATTTCGAAATAACGAGCCTGGAAATAAAACATGCAGAACAGCGGTGTGTGTGATGCGAGGACAGAAGAGCAGTCAGCGGCTTTCATTCTTCATTTCATTGTTAATGAGTTGGAGAGAGTGAGAGAAAGTGAATGTCATCCGAGCGCAAGAAGGAGGAGGAAGGACACCATATTTAACAGTGTAAAATAAGACCCACTTTCACCACACAAAATACGGACGGTTTAGCATTGCTTGCATTTCACTCTCCCGTGCTCACACTTATCCTTGACACATCTCAAAAAGCATAGGTTGGCCAAAAGCATCCAACCCAAAAGTCCATACTGCCCCTGCTCATACTTTCATACTTTCCATACTCTTCTGCTGAGCACTGGAGCGTCGACAAGGAACGACCAGGAACGTCATAAAGAAATGCATGGACCTCACTCAACTCTCAAACTCGACCCAAAAGCTGGTCGGTCGGAGGGACGAGCGAGTTGAAGTTGGAAACAACCTAGGTTAGAGGAGAGAGTGCAACCACCTACTCAATTGTGGCATGCGAATTCGATGCAACTTCTCGCTCGCTGCTTCTCTCGAGCAGGCAGAGCGGAGTGCAGTCGGAATGCATGTAATGCGAGGCATAACCTTCCTTAAAACGTGCCATCGTTCGTCCCTGGGAAAGTAGAATGCTCAACTCGAAATGAACACGATTCCCTGACCAACCACATTTTCTCCTCCTCTCTCCACCATCATCACCGGCCTAAAACTCTCCCACATCCCCCTTGCCACTGCACTTATCACACATCTTATCCAAACCATGCCAACCTTTACTTTTCATTACACAAATAGTTTAACTGTAGTCTCGGCAACTTATTAATATTACATTTTATGCATGCATGAGAGAGGTCGGCGTAAAGGATACATGCACCTTGAACATATGTAAGTACTGAAAACTTGTTCTGTCCATGTGTATGACCAGTTAAGAAGACGGGGATATGTACGTGTGAGATCTGGTCAGTTGTCCGCAGATAAAGGAGAGGAAAAACTTGCTCAAATTTTTTTTTCCAATTCTGACACGACTTAATTCACATTCATATTATGGAGCAATCATACTTGTTAAAAAAACCACGGTAGGCAATTATTCTTTCTTCCATCAAGATTAACTCGGTTTAAGCTTTTCAAGTGCCTGGTGTGAATGCTGAAGTACATAATGTGCATGATCTTTTCCGACTTCTTCAACTCAACGAAGAGAAGAAAAAGAAGTGTTGGCAGAAAAATTGGAACTCAACTGGTTTTCTGTTCTCTGGCTGCAAGCGACCGTGCATTGCAAAATAAATGGACTTTTAACCGCAAACAACTTGAGCTAGTTGAAGAACCATGTACATCATATATACATAAGTATAACAGGATTTCAACTTGTTTAGCATGCATGCCTCGCAAGTGTATTTAAGTGTAGCTGTATATACCACGCCAAATGCAAGAACCTTCCTCAACTTCAATTTTGTGAGCTTGGCTCAGAATTGGTGTGTGTGTGTGTGTATCTGCAATTCGACCACATTTGCATTCCAAAAAAATCGCATCGATTATTTCCAACAACTTTTAAATGCAGTGCAGGTATGCACTTATACACGAATGTGCTCTCTGATTGTATTAGCCAGAGCACGAGATAACTAAATAAATATATTTTAAGAGATATGAAGGAATTGTTATAGTACGAGTGGGACAACTCTGGATTTTGGATCCAAGATATATATGTGTGTGTATAAATACAAAAATATATCTTGGATCGGTCTCTGTCGTCCCTCCCATGCATACAACATGATGTTGAGTGCACGAACTTTCCTTCTAATAATGCCAATGCATCATAAGCACAACCAGTTAAATTTGACTTTATGCACATATTGCCTGCCTACATGTGCACCGTCCTGCCTAGCTTTTTACTTTGATATCACATCATCACAGAGTTTAAGATACGTTCGCAAGCCAGCGTATCCATCCACGCTCAAACATAAATACATTGTCTTCTTATTCTTATAGCCAAGCTATAATTTGCAAGTTTAATAGCGAAGCTATAAAAACTATGTACACGCTGCATAAAACATTCCTAGAGCAGATCAATCCCTATATATTCCACCTCAATTGTGCAGCTTAGCCTTAGTAGTACTTTGACCATATAATCTGTTCACAAAAGCACATGAATTTCTGCATCGGATAAAGTAGCAATTGAATGGGAAAATATCACGTCCCTACCGACTTTTGCTGTATGCCACATGTCCTTATGTGAAGTTTAGCCTGCGAGAATTGCAACAGCCTGATAAGTAAAGCATTAAACCTACAGCGTGAACCAGCAGACATTGCGACGTAAGGCAGATTGACATTGACACCCAAGGGTATACCCTTTTTCCTTACCAAGAAGCCAGATCTCATCTTGGAATTATTATATTGCTTCTTTTTTTATTAATGAAAGCACGTTGCACTCCGTACACTGCCATCACCACATACATCAACTACTACTAAAAAAGCACATACATACGTATAATGTATACATGCTTTACTCGTGTTACTATCACATACAGAACGGCAATATTTAAATTACTTGAACCAAGACCAACCATAACCCTAATTGTTCTCCTCATCCATACATACTTACTACATATTTCATACATCTGAGTAAGATTATCACACCACGTTATGAACCTCTTGCCATCGTTGTATCCATCCCAAAATGAAGTTGACTTTCACAACAAAGCAGGACCAAAGAGGATAATAATAAGGTGATAGACCCATCATTGTACAACACAATGGCAGGACGGACAACACTAGTACGCTATTTGTATTCACAGCCATGCACCTTGTGCCTTATGGTGTTGCGACTACTGTTATCATTATTGAGATTGAGATGCAACACGAGTAGTTCAATCTTAGACATTCAATCCTTCCGATACTAATTCAAAAGCAATCAACCCACGTGCGAAATTCACCTACTTACAAATTCGCGAAGGACGCTCTCATATAATGTAGCCCTGAACCTGCCCGAAAAGAGTAGTTCCTCATCTATAATCTTGACTATCACTACATAAAGCAAATAACGATTGCATATGAAAATGTGTATTGTGTTGTACAAGGAAAATAGTAAAAATAAGGTGTCGGACGCAAGTGAACAAATGAGGACAATGCAATGCATGAGATATCTGGAGAGTGAAATCCCAACTCATGAATTCCAATTGGAGCTCAATTGATGAGTTCCGAGTTACAACCTGGAATATTAAGTCATGCTTGAGCTACGTATGATTTGCCAAATGATGACAACCAAATCAAGTACAAATATTACCAAGAGAGAGAGAGAGAACCAAATCCCAAGTCAATTTCAACATGATGCCTCTAATAATTTAAGCAAAAACAACACACATTTCTCATCGTGTCGTGGTGGTGCGGTGAGACAGATGACAAAAGAGAGAAAATTTCACATCAAAAGATTTCCCATCACCACATGGGCTCAGTCCCACACCGTCGTCGTCGTCCTCCTCCTACCATCATCACCAATGAAGATTGGCGAATAATCTGATTCTGATTTGAGCTCCAACAGTCACGTTCCAATGACAAAATTCAGATTTTTTAGGACAAATAGGTAAATCCTAATCCTACCCAAGCCCAGTGGGGCTTGCAACTTATTTATCTTATGAATAACCTAGTGGGCGAATTCCCAAATTTTATGACTGACTTATAATCTCGCAGGATTAATATTACTTTTACCTCTTTGCTTGCAACATAACTTGTACATAAATACATATATGGCCATTCCTCCTGGACATTACTCTCGCGTCTCAACTTGCCTCCAATTACTAATCCTCCAAGGATTATTGCCGTTCCAACCCGTTATTACAAACAGGTTGCTGGTAATTGATGATAAATTATAGATTTTGTAACTGATGGTGGACAAAATGGTCCTATATCCTCCTAATACTCGTCCTCCAGCATTAATAACTAACATGCTCATAAGTCTACCTTTCGCATTCGAGTTTGCACACGAACCGATGACCGGACCAACCACTCACCACCGTACATAAAATACGCATAGGGTAAAATTTGGCCTGTCACATTTCAAATTATGCATTTGTCTTTTTCTTCTTCACTATAAATCCCACTACCACCAGTCCTACTATCGTGACGATGATGATGCTTTCTAAAATAGTGCATGAGGAATTAGCTAATCTAATAATCACCCTGATGTCAACCACAGTAAGTTGCTTTAATTATGCTAGCCTCCATCCACCAACTTTCTCTCCTCTTCCTCCTTCTTGCCTTGTTGGGAGTCAGCAAAGCAAGGAGACGAGTGTGCACATAGTTGGACAAGGATAAAGCCAAGTCAACTTTCGCTTCACAACTTCAAAGTATATGTACATCCATGCATCCGGAGTTTGTGAATTATTAAGTTTTCCTTCTCTGACAAAACTATGCACACCCGGCTTTCCGTGCTTTCTCTTCTAACCTAATAAATCTCCGGTGAAGGTGACTGGGCTCAATTAGATGACCAATTTCCAAATTTCTTAAGCGACGGTTACTTAATTATTTGAGTTAATTTAACATAATTCGTGTCCACTCAAACCCAAATTGCTTAATGAAATGCTTAATTTCTAGGTGATATAGTGTGTCGTTCTTATTCATCAGTGTGCTTTCAATGGTTCGCCCCCCCCCCTCCTCATTTCCTCCCCTCATCACTGTCTAATTATTTCTTCCATGAATGCTATTATTAAATTTATAAATTACTTCTTAGCCCTTATTATTATAATCCACAGTCTTAATATTCGGACGTCTCAAGTTAATACGTCCCGTCGTAAATATGATAAAATAATCATTACTCTAACCATACATTAAAGAGAATTTCGAATGCCACCATACCTGGTTCAGCAAAGCGGCTTTCGCCGTGCAATAGTAGTAGTATGCGGGATTGCTCATAAATGCATTCCACACAGGATGGACCCAGAGGTTCCAACTATTTCGGTAATCCATCTTTGAATCCAGATTAGATAGAATTCCTTTGCGAACACACGACGGGGTAATTTTTTACAGTGGAGGAGCTGCAGCCATCCCTAATATTTTACTGTACTTTCACGGTCGTTATCAAACTCAGTTCAACTCGGCCGTGCCGAGAAAAGCTCATGTGAACACATTAAGCAGAATGTATAAGGTCTAGTTTTAGTCAAGTCTATTTGAGCCTGGGGAAAGTCCGGCTCCTTCTTTTTTTCTAATTATTAATAGCTGGATAACTGGGAATAGAAAAAATTCTCCTAAAGACGACAGGGGAATGAGTGGGTACAATGCAAAGTGTATATCTATGCGAAGCCCTAACTAACTATAGTACAAGTTCTGACAGAGAGAGATCTTTGGCCTTAGCGAGAATGAGAGAGAGAGAGAATGAGTGGATGATCACGAGTTGGAGAGCTGAATGCAGTTCCAGTTGAGCCGAGAGAAGAAACCGGGTAGGTTCTGGTAGGTGGGTGCTGTTGAACGAAGTGTAAGTTGGCGAGTGAGAGCGAATGTGCAATCGCTACCCGCTTTTATACCTACAACACTTTGGCCACTTAGGTGGGTTAACTCCCGATGCAATGCCAGCACGGAGAGAGAGAGGAGATGCACCAGTCTGGAGTAAGCACCCGACCAAACTAACTAACTGCAAACGCTGGAGTGGAAAAAGAGAACTGTTCTCTCTCTCGTATTCCAAACTAACATTCAGCGAATGCCATCCATCCAATAACTCGTTCTCTGGCTGGATATACGTGCTAATCGCATCCACGACTTGACTGGAATAGCTCAACCCTCCACAGGTTAGGCACATTATTCGCAACCTACAACAAAACTCGCATCTTCGTCTTCTGTAACCTGCTGCAACATTATGGCAAACCACACACACTTCTTCAGCTCGAATTGCTGTACAAGTGTGCAAAACGAGTTCATCATCGCAGTAGTACATCCGTACCGTTTTAAGAGCCTTTTCGAGGAGGGACACACATGATGGGTGAGATTGCCGTAAATTGTGAAAACCTGTTGTGAGATGCCTAAACATGTAACGATTGGATCGGATTTCTCCAGGAGAGAGAAATATTTCTCACAAGTTCTCCTTGTTCCCATTTCGTTCTCTTTCTTTCTCTGGTCTTGTCTAATTATCTACTGCTATTTAGGCGAATGTAGTCCACCTTCACACATTTTTCCCGAGTTTTTCCTTATGACAGAAAAAAAACTGTTAAAAAACTCGTCAACCAAGCCTCGCCTTCCTCATTTTCCAGCAAAGGAATTTCCTTTCCTTGTTTCCCTGGCGAAAAGCGGCTTGAGCGAGCACGTATGTACATAATTTTGAAATCACACATACTCATCATCTCCCTTCCCCCAGTTGTGCACTCTGCTATTAGTTTTAAGTGGCTAAAGCAACCCAAGGGAGAAAGCCAACGACACAAAATCGTTTAATACAATGTCTAATAATAATGCCATGAGTCGTGTATATGTTTTAGTCATCAAATTATGACAATTTGCGGCAGGTTTGGTTTAATAAACCGCAACTTATTTATCAATACAATTAGCGACATTTAGTCCGTTTCCATTCCTGCCTTAATTGCGGGGTTGTTTGAAAAACGCATTCTTTCTGCTATATTATATTATACATGCATATGGAAAAATTCTCCGATTTGACTCCTACCAACTTTCTCCCATGTCAAGAAGTAAGTACATACCTAAGGACAACACAACTTGCAAACATTCATCGACCCGACTTTAATTTGTACATGTAAACTATTCTCCTTCTTAGCTGGCAAAGCTGAGGAGTGTACCAGTTGTTGGACAGAAAACCAATGACACATTTCATAACTTTCATTCCACTGATTCAAATCGGTCTGCACTTTAGGCAAATTTATCCAATTGGTGTCCAATTTAATCAAGGGAATGAAGACACATTTGAAATTTGTACGGAAATGTAAATGTAGACCACAATAACGCCATCGAAACCAAATATTTATGGATTCCCTATCCCGTAAAACATGCGGCAAAGGGAGGAAGGAAATAAAGGACAAAGAATAGGAATACCCTGCTGACAGAAGTACTCGGTCTTCCACAATCCTCACATGATGAAAGTGGTAGTGGTGGTTTGGTTAGTAGAATTTGTATTAAATCCGAATGCGCAATAATGGTAATCCATCCCTAAAGGACAAAACTTGATGAGTACGACGACGATCTAGATGAGGATTGGCTCACAACATCATCGGCCCTTTGAATTTGAAGTAATTTGTTTGATTTAACCTCACCCAAACTTTCTCCACACTCTAAACAGAAGGTGGTGTAAATTCCTTAGCAAACCACTCGAGTTAATTTCGCCCTGCCTTCCTTCCTTACTACACATAAATAAATACACGAGGATGCATGTAGTGTTGTAACCCCAACATCAAATCAACTTTGGTTTCCAATTTCATCCCTTGGGACACCTAGCAGCTTGCATTCTCGCTCTCAATTCTGTATAAATGACGACGACGACGTCCAATTAATTAAAACACCTTCAAAGTAGTTTGACCATTTCATCAAATCCGCATTCTGTTCTACATACATCTGCCGGGAACAGGGGGGCTCATACTAGCTAACCTTTTGTATTCAATGATATGCCGTTGCTGGATGCCTATGGGAATATTGGATCAATGAGGAGTGCTTTGGGGTGCAATTGAGAACTTGCGGCATTGTAAATATATGTAGAAAGAAGACTCCCAACACCACTGACAATAAATCTCAATATATTTGCCCAGAAAGGAGAGGTGGCTTGGATTTGCACAAGCTGGGGATAAAGTAATAAGTAAAAGCCAGCATTGGCTGAGTGATGTGATGATGAAGATGGAACGGACAGGTGCCAATTAAAACGTTCTGATTGTGCCTGAAACTAATTATCCAAGTGCACAGAAATATATGCTTTACGAGCGTGAATATAAGAATGAACAAGTGAGCACTAAACACTGAACACCACTTCACTCAATTTCATTTTAAAGACAACCCCCCGCCAGATAGGATCATCGGTATGCCGTGTACGAAACGAAGGGAACTATATCGGCAATAATGGTTGAAAAGGTTCCGAGTCATGACACCAAAGGAAATCTAGGAGGTAGGACTAGGATGGACGCGCCAGAGATAGCAACCCGCTGGCTGTCAGCCTCCAATATAACAAATTTAACCCATCTCTCGCTTGCCCTAACCAATCTGTTTGTACATGTTCAAATCAATCCCTTCCTTGTGTGCAAAATATAGAATCACAAGGGCCAAAAGTAGTAGCACACCTAACCGCATATCCTACTGCCATCATCACCACCACCACTTTCTCTTCCATAGCAAATGCAGCATGGATTCGCCCCACGATACCTTTGTGCAAGTCGGGCGAGCATAACTTTCCCCACTTCACTCTGACTTTCTGCCGCTTTAAAATTAGGTCGTTCAAATTCAATTAAATTAAATTCCTTTCAGAGCCAGGAGAGTCATTGTCCCTCATGTGCCGGTGGTGCATTACAATGTTCACTCATCTCGGCGTCGCCGTCCTCATCATCATCAAATTGACGAAAGACTTTTCTCTTGTCGCAAACTTACGTTGACCGTTGTTTATCCCGCTACGATTACTATACTTTCGCTCGAGCCTTCGCCTTCCACAAAAAGTGGACAAGTTGACACAAAATTGCAACGACGACATCGCTTACATCAAATACTGCTACACTTGTTCTCTTCTTCTTCCACTATGCAATTCATACACTAACCAAATAATAAGTCAACCTTCTACTCGTTGCGACTCTCTCCTTTTCTCTGCCAGCTGGAATAAGCTAAGCAAAGAGAAAAAAGAAAGTGTCCCATCAGCAAAAGTAACGTGTAATGAGCTCCATATCTGGAGAAAGTGGAGCAATATCCTGCATCTAAAAATGTCATTGTTGTACTTTTCCTCCAGCAATGTTAACTTCACCCAAGAAGTCGTAACTATTCTGACTGACGAAGACACGAATGAACAACTTTCTCTGACAAAAAAAAGTCAACTCTCCCACCGCTTCTCCTCCTCAACTTGAGGACCTCTAACTCGGTGGGCCCTGTTATTTTATTTCTACCAGCACCTAAATACTCCTATATTTCTACTTGTATTGAATTGCATTGCATTCTCCTCTCCTCCTTCTGAGTGAATTCAGCTACATCACATTACATTACATCCGTTCAATGCACATTTGCACAATCTCTCCCTTCATCCGAGAGGTGAGTTGAACTGAGCTGTGAGGTGTCGAGACTAGAGAGAGAGAGGTGTAGTTTCGCAACTTTTTCCTTTCACCACCATTGCTCAAAAATAATAAAGTTGAAGGAAAAGTAGTTTTTTTTTCATCCTCGCAATATTCAACCCTCCTCCTCTCTCAGACACCTTGTTGTACAATGTCACAATCATCATCATCATTTTCCATCATGAAGAAACTCGAATCACAATCACATAAAAAATTCATACAATTTAACAAACTCAACAAACAACAATTCCCATAATGAACAAGACTAAAAAAAGTTGCAATATAACTGAACTGACATCACCTACATCACGGTCTCTGTCCCCTAAATATTCCTCGATCCCAATCTTCGCGTTCTTCAGACAAAGAAAAAAAGCGTGCAACTTGAGAAATCTTCCCTACTACCAACCAACCAACTTTACACAAACATCTAATGTCCTTTCACCTTGAACAATTTGATTATGTATCGTTTCATCTGAGCGCCACAGAACGGAAGCCGTGCAAATGCCACTCGGCGCCAGGTAAGACAATACACTCTGACAAGAAGAATAATGGTAATCCGTAATTAAAATAATTCTCATCCTCTCTCTCGAGAAGACCGAGCCACACTTAACTTATCATCATCAACCAAAATCCTTTGCTGGCATGAAAAAAAAGAAAAAGAGTTACATTACCTCTACCTGCACCTCTGCATCATGTTGTTGAAGGTTCTTTGCTGCCCTTCTCTGACCTTTCCTCCTGCAGGTCAAGTTACCTTCCGGCGCAGCCATCTCTTTCCTCGTACTTTTCAACAATGTGAGGGACTTTATTGTATTTAGGAATAGTAGGATAAGTGTTTTTTTTTTAATTGGAGGGAGGGAGGAAGAAAAAAAGAACAATGTATTTTATTTCAAGCTTGCATCCGAACATAAAAAGTGGGAGCGAGAGGGAGCAATATGTCTTCACAGAGCGAAGCTTTACAACGCAATGACATCGCTCAAGTCAAGTCCAGCCAATATCATGAGGAAGATGACGAAGCAGAAAAAACATGATCGCGACGAGTTAATTAGTGGAAGAAGGAGGAGACGTTAAGTGCCGGCTGGAGTGGGGAGTGAGGCCCTTGGCACCACCAGCGACTGCACTCCAGACGTTTTCTTCTTAGAATTGGTGACGAAAAATCCAGCAGCCACTACTCGAGCTCGTGATTGCTGCCACCCACCCACTCACCCCAAGCGTGCTACTCCCCAGGCAAGGCCTTTACCTTCGCTTCGCCCCGTCCCATATTTCCGTACTAAT